CTTGCAGTGCAGAAGCTTTTTAATAAGATGAGATCCCAGTTGTTGATTGTTTGGCTAGTTTCTGTGCTGCTGAGGTTTTGTTCATATAATCTTTTCCTATGCCAATGTCTTCAAGAGTTCTACCTAATTTATCTTCCATCAAGTTTAGGGTTTCTGTTTTCATATTTAGATCTTTAATCCATTTTGATCTTAGTTTAGTGCATGGTGATAGATACGGGCCTAGTTTTAATCTTTGGCAGGTTGAAATCCAGTTTTTCCAACACCATTTGTTAAATAGGCTATCTTTCCTCCAATGAGGGTGATTGGCTTCTTTGTCAAAGATGAGGTGGCTGAGTATGTCTGGAGTTGTTTCTGCATCTCTAATCTATTCCACTGATCCTCGGGTCTGTTTCTTTGCCAGTATCATGCTGTTTTTATCACAGTAGCTTTGTAGTATAGTTGCAGGTTGTGGATTGTGATACCCCCAGCCATGTCTCTGTTGCCTAGAATTGCTTTTGCTATTCTAGGTCTCTTCTAGTTCCAAATGAATTTTTGGATTGTTTTCTCTAGTTCTGTGAAATGTATTTTTGGAATTTCAATTGGCAGTTTATTAAATCTATATAGTAGTTTTGGAAGGATGGCCATTTTCTCCATATTGGTTCTTCCTACCCAGGAGCAAGAGATGTCTCCATTTTCTTACATCCTCTTTGATCTCTTTTTTCAGAGTGCTGTAGTTTTCAGTGTAGAGATCTTTTGCTTCTTTTGTTAGATTGATTCCTAGATATTTCATTTTTTTAAAAAAATTCTTTTGATATTTCATTTTTTTGTGCTATTGTAAAAGGAATTGTTTCCCTAATTTCTCTCTTGTGAGCCTGCAATTTGTGTATAAGAAGGCTATTGTTTTTTGATTGTTGACCTTGTATCCACCTACTCTACTGAATCTGTCAATTAAGTCTAGAAGTCTTTTGGCAGAGTTTTATGGGTCTTCTATGTAGAGTATCATATCGTCAGCAAATAATGACAGTTTCACTTCTTCCTTTCCTATCTTTACTCCTTTTATTTCTTTCTCCTCTCTAATTGCTGTGGCTAATGTTTCCAGAACTATATTGAACAGGAGTGGTGATAGTGGACATCTTTGTCTTGTTCCTGATTTTAGCATGAAAGTTTTCAGTTTTTGAGCATTTAGCATGCTGTTGGCTGTTGGTTTTTCATAGATAGCCTTAATCAGGTTGAGATAAAGACCTTCTATTCCAATTTTCTGTAGGGTTTTTATAATGAATGGGTGTTGGATTTTGTTGAATGCTTTTTCTGCATCTATTGAGATGATCAAATGGTTTTTGTCCTTGGTTCTGTTAATATAGTGT